TTATTATTTAAATAATGTGATTATTTAAATTTGAATTTGAACACATCTAGATTTATCCATTTAAACTTATTTGATAAGTTGTTCAATTTAGAATTCAAATTAATTTAAGTTTGACTTAAATTCGAATTTGAATCTAAATTAAAATTGGACTACTGGATAAAGGATAAAATCTCTTCCTTCCCTATCTGAGATTGGCGCCACACATAGGGATAAACCCTAGGAGGGTGGCCGGCCATTAAGTGGATAAGGGGAAGGGGTTTTTTGTTCAAAATTCAAAATTGGAGATAAGGATTTGATTCTATTTTGAAGTTTGACTTCTTCTCTTTAAATATGAGAAAGATAGAAAATTGTAGTGACAATTTTTTAACAATTTTTGAGCCCTAGTTTTTGAGTGTGGCCGAAATTCTCATAGAGGAAAAAGATAGCAAAATATTTTTCTCCAAAAATTCCACATCGTGCATGCGTTGGTGTTTGTGGAAATTCGAGTGTTTAAGAAACCTATTTTTGTCTCACGTGTGCCCACACACACGTCTACGTGGAATCAAGAAATTGACGTGGAAGACTTTGGTATTCTAAACACAAAGCTTGGAGTAAGGACTGTTCGTGGTCAAAGAAATTCAAGTTATCATCCGAGTCGGCTTCCAGGTATTTTTTCGGTTGATCCTTGAATCATGTAAATTAATGTGATTAATTTATTCGTGCATAAATTAATATAATCTATAGAGTATCTCAAAAGTTTTATGAAAATTTTTGTTATACACGATCCGCTGTTTCCATCCCCACGCTTCCGCACCCGAATTCGATTCGGGAACCAGCAGTTTAGACTTAGCTAACAGGAGAGCGATATTAAGACTTTAGAGGAGGACATCTAATAATTATGATGTTTGATAAGTGTATGAGAATACACCTTAAATATTGTTTTTAATTTATATAATATTAAAATATTTAAGTTTTAATTAGATAATTCTATTATTTTTATTCAAAATATTTTTAATTAAAATTTATCTAATTTTCGCTTAATTATTTACAGATAAAAAGTAGTGCAAAAACTGAAAAACTATACAAGAAGAAGCTAAAGTCATATTTTCAGTCATTTTAAGCCACTAAGTCGAGCCACACAAGCTATATAGAGAAAGAGAGAGCCGCGTCAGCCAAGTCGAGCCACCAAGCCGAGTTCCGCGTGGGCTCCAGTTCTCCCGCGTGCCCCATCTTTCCACGCGCGCGTCATCAGCACCGCACAACCACCATGGTGCGTTTTCTTGACGCGCAGTTACCAACACGTTCCAACCGATTTCCACGTGGGTCCTGCACGATAGCTGCAACTGCCAGCACTCTCCGTGTGCGCCAGCTGTCCAGTGGGCTAGCTTTCTTCCTCTTTGCGCGCGCCACCTGTCCAACGCGGGTCCCAGCTGTCTCCAACAGCCAGCACTCTCAACCAGTCTGCGCACGACACGCGGCAATTCAATTCCCTTCCTCCAACTGAGCTTTGACAAGTGGCGAGCTGACTTGTTACCTCCAATCCCATTACGACACGTTTTTTCTTATGTGCTGAGTCTGAATTTTTTCTCCAAAATCAGAGCAAGTTGCCTGACTTCCTCCTCAAATCACATATTTGTTTTTTCTTAATTTATGTGTAATTTTATTTTTTAATTTTCCATTTTGATTATTTATTTCCTCATTTATCAGACAACCTCTTAAAACTATAAATAGAGAGATAGCCTAAGGTTTGAGAGTTAGTTTTTCATATTTAGTTTTCTGATGTCTTGCTGTCATCCTCATATTTTTCTCTAAAACTTGTGAGAATGTTTTGTAAGTTAGGCTAGAGTTCTTTTAGTGAGGTTAACTTTTGTTAGTGACCCAATTCGGGTTTTGATTCCTTTTGCTGTAATGCTCAAAATTTGAATGAATTAAATCTCATCTATCTTTTATTTATTTTTCAAAATATTGTATGAATATGAGTTTAGTCACACTTTTCTTATGTAATTCTGTCATGCACTATTTTGTTATTCGAATTATTTTACAAATTGTCTTTTACTACAATTTTATCAAATTGATATATTATCGATTTTAGATAACTTGTAATAATAATATTTTCGAAGTCAATATAGAGATTTAATTTATTCGATACTTTTATTTTATGAATCAAAACTTAAATTGGTGAACGAAACATAAGAGATTCTCGACACCTTACCGTTTTTACTATTGAATTTCCTTCACACAAATTTTCTCTCATTTCATTTTATTTGCAATAAAATTTTTAAAAACATTCTCTTACTTTAATTTATTTTGTCAAGTTTATTTTTCTCTAACGATCTTTTCTACTAATCTTTCTTGTTATTTTTGTCACCTCCTTATAGATACGACTGTTTTTTTGTGCTACAATTGACCACTTGTGAATAACACTTTTGGGCGTTAATCAATGCCCCTCACTTCCAAGCAACCGGTTTCCAACTACTTGAACATAAATGTTCAAGGAAATGAGTCAAGAAGAAAATAGTCTTGGAGAATAAACTTCTAAGATGCACTGAGGAGCTTTTACATAAAATCAAACCGTGGTAAAAAAACAAAATCACACCAAAGAAAGTGGGGTTTCATAAACGCTGAAAGACTCTCATCCAAGAGTACCAATACTATAAAATACAGTTCAAGATGTCTAAAAAGAGTTCTTAAAGTGTCTCGATCAAGAATGCCAATCTGCCAACTAGACACATACATTGCTCGTTAGTGGTACGCACATTTGCATGCATGCCGTGTGCAAGGAAAGGCGACGGAAGAATTAGCTAGCTGTCTGATGTCCTGCTTGTGCTCTCACTCGCTGTAGTTTGCCGCACAAACTGTCCCCGGACACGGGGTCGCTGCTCCGCTAGTCTCTTTCTGCTTTGGTAGCGCACCTAAAAATCCAACCAAAACCCGAGTTCAACTAACTTGTAGAACTTTCTCAACAAAATGAAATTCCAAAAGTAGATGCTAGTAATGTCCTAAATGTTATAAAAAGGAATCAGCAGTGTTTCCAACGTTCACCACGTGGTATAAACTGATGCAGAAAATTGTGCCTTTAGAACAACAAAACAGTCAGCAAAACGAGATCATTATGCCACTATAGCAATGTAATATCATATGCATGGCAAGCTAAAAAGCACAAATTATGTGTAATATAGGCCTTGAGATAAGTCGTTTCTGGAGGAACAAAAAATTTCACGTACCCTATTACGAAAGCATCTCTCCTTTCTCTTCAGGCGAAACTTTGTCAATGCAGCTTCTCTGTGCGCAGCCTTGTTGTCGTCTGCTCTTCCACTACCAATAGCATCACCACTACCACTATTACCGGAAACTCCGTTCTCACTTTCAATGTTTGTCCCTCCAACATTAATTGGAGTGCTGCTCCCATGGTTGCTGCCTGAAGCACTTCTATTGATACTGCAATTTCCATTGTTACAGTCAACCGGTCCACTCAGGACATTAGACGAACCACAATGTGGAGGAGCAGTAGCCAATTTCTTTAGGGAGAAATCGTTATGATCAGTTGGCTGCTGTTGTTGAATACCGTGAGTGGGATGATGATGGAACTGGTAGTTATCATAATGGATATGGAGGTGCTGAGTATGATGTACCTTGTGGGCACCTTGTGATGGAGCCGACATTATACTAGCTGTCTCGTGATTGCCATTATCGGTTATTACTTGTTGTGGAGCACAATTAAGGTCATTTTTCACAGGATGGAAAGCAGACGACGGATACAGTTGTTGAATAGTGGATGATGCGACTGATTTGTTAAAAACAATATGCCTCGTAATCGCATTATTGGTTGTACAACCCGTATCAACATTGTTGCTAGCTGCAACTGAGCCATGATTGGGAGGATTGCCACTTGTTTGAGATTGAATATCGTGAAAGTCCTTTGTAGTGTCCATGCTATTATCATGTGGAAAACTGCTTCCTGCATGCCGGGTAGGCGCCTTGTAAGAATTTGATGCTGCATTATACCTGCAGAGGAGTAATAGTGTTTGCTCCAGCTTAAACTAAATATGCTGATCATATAGATTATTCAAAATTCCAGATCTTCAGTAATTCCTTATACCTTGAGAAGGCTGAAGACTCTGAACGCCTCAAGACATTTCGGTCATCTTGTATGGTTGTGCCAGGGCCTTTTACTCCTCTGAGTCTTTTTAAACTGAGCTCCAGGGATGGCATTTCATCCGAATCATTAATGCCTTTATTCTTATTGTCTGAGACTTTGCAATGTCCATTTGGAGCTTGATACTCTGTGTTGTCCATCTGAAGATCAGTTGTATTAGTGAAAACACCTGTTAGCGTATGAATTTCACATTTCAGCTTGTTAGATGGCTTCTCGTAATCAATGTCAACCTGTCCCTTGTTAATCTGCTCATTGAATTTACTGGAACCCATCTCAACCAGATTATTTTGTCTCGTGACAGTGCGTTTGGTTGGAATGTCATTTGGATATTCAAGTTGTACTTTCAGTTTACTGGGCATCCCAATCTCCAAGTCTTTTCCCAGTGTGCCATCGTCTGGAAGGAAATATTCATTGTTACATAGATATTCACACATAATAAGGAACAGTACATAGAAAACTTTACGCTTAACTTGTACAGAGCCGCAAAAGGTTAAGGAAACTTGAGGCGTACCAATTTTTTCCTTCTGTTCAGGGCGCTCATTCCTTGCAGTTGCAGAAACCAACTTGTCACTTCCCGTTTCGGCATTTGGATGGACAACCCGGGCAAAATTACTATCAGGACACTCGGCTGTTTGCTCGCATGAAGACATCTGTCTTGGGCTGTCAACTTCTACAGCTTGTTTAGTCCAAGAACTCTACATAATGGACAGAGGAACAGATTAACAGCTTGACAATATACATCCATATATCTTTCAAAACAACATGATGGATTTGACATTGACAACAATGATTAAAATGAAATTCATCAATAGCTGATAGATATGTCTGTACTCTGTAGTTTCTTTCTAGATGTCATAGTATTTTTTTTCGACTTGGCTCAGATTGCGGTAAAATAGAAACCAATTGCTTGACACCATTTTACAGCCTGTGCAAATGAAATACACTTCATTGGAATTTGGCATGGAATGCATGCATTGAAGTAATTTTTTGCTCTTAGACAGTATAGGGGAAAATTGTAATTAATATTAAGAAACTTTCAAAGATCTTGCTAACCTATATTAAACTGTTATACCTGAGTGCCACTCCCATTGTCGCTTCCTTCCCCGATGTTCAAACCAACACTCCCATTCTCTTCCTCATCATTGCTTCCAGTGTTGTTGCCAGAGTTTTCAACAGTCTTTGATTTAACAGATTTTTGAGTTAGTGCACCACTTTCGCTGCCGCTTCCACTAGACTGAGGAAGAGCTAGAATTAGCATTGATAATTTGAGACAAGCAACAAAAGAAATAAATCTGATTTTCAATAATGGATTCAGATCAATCCATATGTATAAATAAATAAATAAATATATATATTCTTTTGCACTAGAAACGTCTGCAGGAGAATAACTTGCTTCAAATGAAAGACACAGATTGGTTGGGAAGAAATCTAACAAAAATGGGAAATTGTAATAACTCACACTGTGGCATCTCCTCCAAACATGCTGCCAAAGGTTCTTAAGCTCATTCTTCCGTATGGGCTTCACCAAAAAATCAACAGCACCCTTTGACAAACACTTAAAGACTAGACCCATTGAGTCATGAGATGACATCACTGCACACAAATCTCACCAGGAGGACAGTTAAAAGTATCTATCTTGTAAATTGTAACGACAGTTTCGTTCCTACTCCATAAAATTATTACAAGATGGATGTGAGGAGAAACTTACTAATCACAGGAACATTTTTACGTGTCTTATGGCTCATGATCTTCCATAAAAGAGCAATGCCTGACAAGCAAGGCATGACTACCTCAGTTAAAATGAGATCAACATGGTTGGTCAAATCTTCAAGTATCTTCCACGCTTGTAATCCATTTGTGGCTTCAATGACTGGCAATACAAAAGTACATACCATAATAGTCAAATATGAATCTTACATATTTGAAAACTAAATAAATGGACACCTAAAAGAGATGGCTAATTGTAATTATGTGTCCTCACGATGGCACATGACACAAGCATACAGGGAAAATAATTGATCTGGACTAAAAGTTACGTACTTAGTGTATCAGAATCAGACAAAGTACTCCCAAAAAGGGAAGGGAAAGATTCATAAGTAAAGAACTAAGCCAATATACTTCGGAATAAAGAAACTCAATTTCTGATTCTAAAGAATGTGTGGCTGAGAGAGTCAAAGACTGAAAACTGATAGTCCATGAACAGAAGAGACCTTACCTTGTTTTTTTTTTTTTAGGTACAGAAGAAACTTTACTTAAAAGATGAAAATCCTTAAAAAAGCTACAATAAAGCTAAATGAGGTTTTATGAGGCTCATAATAGGTATTTTGACTACGACTCTGTTATAAAACCTGGTCAGCAAGCCTATTGCTTGTCCTTCAGTTTTCCTCAAATCTTTTACCAAAGGTCATCTGAGATATTTTCCCTTTGCAGAGATTAAGTGGTTGTTCTGTAATACAGGGCATAAGCGTCGCGTCTACTCAGTCTCTTCGGATTACGTCACAATTACAAAATCAAAAGTACAAACATATAACTAGGATTCAACAGAAAATATATAAAGAGCAGAAAACTTTGCTAGGCGCCTTATAGTAATCCATGAAAGTCTTGGAAGCATCAGGACAGAAAATCCATACCATGAGCTACCCCTTTTGGCCTAGGTCCTAGATTGTAACAAAAGGTCTCATATAAAACAACAGGTAATAAGCAACTGAATACTCCCATGGTTTCAAAGCAACATTTCTATATTCTTTAATTGCAATGTCCAAAAGACCATGTACTATATGTTAACAATATACTATCACCAGGACCAAGTTACTTTACCAACCTTCGTAACTGCAATTTCGAAGCAGTGCAGTGACAACATGGCGAGTAGAATCATCATTTTCCACCAGCAAGACCTTGAGGGACCTGAGATGTAGGAACCTCTCCCAACACACCATTGCCCCTTGAGACGGCTGCTGCTGCTGCGGTACTTGCAGGACAGCCCGGGCTTCGGCTGCCCCACCATGCCAATCTTTCACATCAGCCGCTAAACTACTATTTCCTAACTCATCGTCCTCAAGCAACCTTTGTTCCTGACCCACATTTTCATTGTTAACACCCTTTTTCCCATCCTGCAGCTTGTGATTTAGTTCCGGAAGCTCCTTAGACTCATCGTCATCGAAGCTCATCAGGACACTCCCTGCAAATTGGATTCAGAAACACTGACCCTAACCGGTAAAATTCCATCTTAAAAAAAAACAGAATTGTTATCAGAAAATGCACGTTTTCAAAGAACCTAACCTCTGAACTTATGAGCCCGTTAAACTGCTAGAAGCCTCAAATCGCTAATAACACGAGCATTATGGAAAATTAAAAGCATAAACGAAGGTATAAAGGCCATTTCTATGCATAACAGATCTCTTAATCCATTGAAATCTGTTTGAAATCCATAAAGCTACTTTACCCCTGTAAGACCAAGAGCTTCATATCAGGAAAAGAAAATAGAAAATAAGAAAACTCCAGAGAACAGCAAAATCAAACAGAAATAAGAAAAGAAAAGCTGAGAACTTCTCAGAGACAAATACTTCCAGAAACTTCCTCAATAATCCTATTAAAAAATAAAATATATAAATATAAAAAAAAATTTCAAACCCTAAGTCAATACAGGAGAACTCCATTTCCATGGAAGAAAAAAACTCCGATCAAATAAAAACTGAAGATTCAATGATAAAAAACTATAAAAATACCAAATAACTCAAGTTCTACAGATTCACTATTACAAAAATCGATAAAAAATGAAACAACCAAAAAAAAAAATTGTAAACTTTTAACCATAATAAACACACACACACAAAAAAAAAAATCACCTTTAGACTTCGTGTTTCTCCATTATCGAGCTCGATCCAGCTGAAAAAATATCAAGAAAAGACGAGAATTTCCACGAAAACAAAAATCGCAACTTCACAGATTAAAGATTTACATGTTAAAAAAGCGATTAAGAATAAAAAAATCTCCACTTTACGCTAATAATAATATTGTATTTAGCTTAATTTGCAGAGTTAGAGAGAGAAAAAGAATAATCGACTCTGAGAAACGGAGAGACTAGAGAGAGAAAGAGAGATGAGAAATAATCGCCGATTTTTTGGTAATTGAGAAAGAAGAAGAAGAAGATATTCTGACGACTCGTCGGGCGCTGACGTGGACAAACTGGAGGTGTTGAGGGGGCTTGGAGTGCCACGTCGGATGGAGATATTTACGAGTAAACTCATGATGTTGGGCCATGTGCCTGCTTAGCTGGACGCAAATCTAAAGCGCCGAGCTTAACGCCATTCCCCAACACTTCCGAGATCTCCTGGAACGTACACGTGGCAAGCTTAGAGAGAGCTGTCTGGTACTTGAAGCGACAGTTTAACGGTAATAACGACAAGCAAGTTGAATTTTCTCTGTCACTCTCTTTTGATGTCGTTTTTGCATTATTGTCGTGAGTTTATTATAGTTCCTTCGTTGTCGCTCTAGTGTTAGTTGTCGTTTATCATTACTTTTTGTTTTTGGCGCTATATTCCTAATCGTTTTCTCCTTTTTTTCCAGTCAGTCTTTCCGTTCACGTCGTGTTTCAGTTTTTTCCACTTCCTGTCATTTCTTATTCATGGTCAATTTCTGTGTTCTTCAATCTTCCAATTATGATAGTTGATCTTTTTCCATTCTTCTTCTTATTCTTCTTTTCTTTGTTTTTTATCATATAGACATTTTTTCGTTGTCTCTCTCATATATCTTATCTTTTTACTCGTCACTATCTCAGATCATTTTTATTTTATATTGTCGTTTTTCATTTTTTCTGCTTTACTCGTCACCATTTCATGTCGTTTCTTATTCTAGTCAATCCTTCTTTTCTCGAGTTCAGTAATTACTATTTCACACTGTTCATAAAATTCATTATTATCAGTCGCAAGATAAAAACAGACATATAACAGCCGTCTAAGAAATAATCAAAGATGAGCCCGTTTGGTTAGAGGATTCGTTCTCTGATTCGAATCATGGTTCATGGTTCGCTACAGTATTTTCTCTCACTAAATTGAAAATAGTTCTAATCCATGAACCAAACGGGCTCTTAATGTTGAGATACAGGGCAGTCATAAATGAGGTCCTCAAACCTTGGTCATGCTCTTTCATTGGGAAAGGTGTTTTTTTTTTTTTTTTTGTAGCTGTTGATACTCATCTCTTCATTTCTATGAAAAATAGGAAAGATGAGCCACAAAAATGGTCTTTATCAACTATAAGTTTTATACGATATACTAGATGCAGAGGAAAGAAAAGAGATATCTTTGAAAAAATAAACCATGAGGACAAAATTATGACAATTTAGCAAATTGTGAGTAAGCTGAAGAAAACTTACAACATGATAAATATTTTACATGTTCTTTTTAACTGACCTTTGTGCACAAGACTTGTCTATCTATTTCAAAATCTTTGGTAGTGCAGATTTTATGAAAATAATCATATAGTATATGAGCAGCCATAAATGGTCCTTATCCAAATTATGGCCTAAGTTTATCAGCCATAAGTTTCATACCATATAAGATAGAGAAAGTAGAATTCAGTTCCTTTCATACCAGAATTGTAGAAAATGTACCCAAGTTCTCTTTTGTGACTCGTCTTTGATTCCAGGAGACGTCTTGTGACTATTGCAATCAAATCCCCTAAGAGAAATTCCCGAAGATTTAGGAATTTAGTGCCAGAAAAAGGCTTCTTCCGAACCAAAGCATTGCTTTGGCAGCCAAAAGTTGCTACATTGTGTCAGTTTTCTGTGGATTTGGTCAACCAACACAAGTGGATACAGCTCTTGTTAGAGTTCCTTTTTTCCCAAATCAATAAAAAGTTTCCTAGTGGTATTACGGTTCCTAAGTTGGACATAAACAAATTGAAGTCAGTAAATCATTGAATGGTACCAAGTCTAAACTGTGAAAAAGACTGATTACTCAAAAGAAAGAGTGACAAAGAGAGGCAAAGCTTCTACTTACTTGTCTGGCCTTGTCGAGTATATACTCTGTCTTGTATCAGTTTTCAGAAACCAAAAGAAAGTATATAAGGGTGGAATGTAGGAAAGCTCTAAGTTCTTGGCAGAGCCATAATAGAAAGAACTATAAGGGGTGGGGAATAGCTTTTTTCCTTATGATTAAGGAAGTGGAAAGAGCAAAGTGATAAGTGTGATACTAAAGAAACTTTTTATTATGATGTTTTTTAAGTAATTGTGATCACCCTTGTGATTCTAGGCAATGAAGTATGTATTGACCCATATTATTTAGTTCCTGTGGTTGGTAAATGACTAAAATTGTTAGTTGCTTCATTCATGGTTATATAATTACTAAATATACGAACATTTTAGTTAGGCATTATCTGCATAATTATTGTGAAGTGATTTGTAGGTACATATCTTATTGTAATAGTGCCTACGTGAGGTGTAAAATGTGCAGCAAGTAGCGAAATGCATGATTTCGGTACTTGATGAGCTATTCCATAGTTCTTTCGCATGGCATGCTGTCAAGAGCCAAATGGCAAGACTTAGAGGAAACACTACCATTCCACACCTACATATATACTTCCCACGTGCAAATCACCCCTTTAGTGTGTGTGTTGAAATCCCAGTTTCTTTCCGGGAGAGGAGGAGGAGAAGGAAGAAGAAGAAGAAGAAGAAGATACTCCCTGGTTCGGTCAACAAAGATGATGCAAAGTTGAAAGTTAAAGAAGTTCTAAATCACAAGCATGATCAACAAACATGATCTAAAGTTGAAAGTTAAAGAAGTTTCCGATCACAAGCATGATTCATAGTTAAAAGTTGTGCAGTTCTTGGTCACAAGCATGATCAAGAGTTGAAAGTTTGATCATAAGCATGATCCAAAGTTAAGTGGTTCTTCATCATAAGCATGATCCAAGTTAAGTAGTTCATCATGAGCATGATCCGTAATTGAAAGTTAAGTAGTTCTTAATCACAAGCATGATCCAGAGTTGAAAGTTAAAGAAGTTCCCGATCACAAGCATGATCCATAGTTAAAAGTTGAGCAGCGCTTGATCACAAGCATGATCAAGAGTTGAAAGTTTGATCATAAGCATGATCCAAAGTTAAGTAGTTCTTCATCATAAGTATGATCCGTAATTGAAAGTTAAGTAGTTCTTAATCACAAGCATGATCCAGAGTTGAAAGTTAAAGAAGTTTCCGATCACAAGCCTGATCCATAGTTAAAAGTTGAGCAGCTCTTGATCACAAGCATGATCCTGAGTTGAAAGTTTGATCATAAGCATGATCCAAAGTTAAGTAGTTCTTCATCATAAGTATGATCCGTAATTGAAAGTTAAGTAGTTCTTAATCACAAGCATGATCCAGAGTTGAAAGTTTAAGAAGTTCCCAATCAAAAGCATGATCCATAGTTAAAAGTTGAGCAACTCTTGATCACAAGCATGATCCTGAGTTGAAAGTTTGATCATAAGCATGCTCCAAAGTTAAGTAGTTCTTCATCATAAGCATGATCCGTAATTAAAAGTTAAGTAGTTCTTAATCACAATCCATAGTTGAAAGTTAAAGAAGTTCCCGATCACAAGCATGATCCATAGTTAAAAGTTGAGCAGTTCTTGATCACAAGCATGATCCAGAGTTGAAAGTTTGATCATAAGCATTATCCAGAGTTAAGTAGTTCTTCATCATAAGCATGATCCGTAATTGAAACTTAAGTAGTTCTTAATCACAAGCATGATCCAGAGTTGAAATTTGAGTAGTTCTAGATCACAAGCATGATCCAGAGTTGAAAGTTAAGAAGTTTTTTATCATAAGCGTGATCTAGAGTTGAAAGTTGAGGAGTTTATGATCACAAGAATGATCCAGAGTTAAAAGTAAGTAGTTTTTTTATCACAAGTATGATCCAAAGTTACGTAGTTCTTGGTCATAAGCATGATCTAGAGTTGAAAATTAAGTAGTTCTCGCTCACAAACAATATCCAGTGTTGAAACTTGAGCAGTACTTGATCAAAAGTATGATCTAGAGTTGAAAGTTTAGATGTAGTTGATCATAAGCATGATCAAGAGTTCAAAACTCGAGTAGTTTTAGAGTTAAAAGTTAAGAAGTCATTGATCATAAGCATGATCGAGAGTTGAAAGTTGAGAAATTTTTTATCACAAGCATGATCCCGAGTTGAAACCTTAGCAGGTTTTGAAGACCAGATTTCAATGTTTAGCAGTTCTCGATCACAAGGATGATCCAGAGTAGAAATTTTAGCAGTTATTGATCACAAGTATGATCCAGAGTTCAAAGTTTAGTAGTTCTTTATCAACAAGTATGATGCATAGTTGAAAGATAAGCTATTATAGACCATAAGCATGTTCTAGAACTAAAAGTTAAGCAGTTCTTCATCACAAGCATGATGCAGAGTTAAAACTTGAGCATTTCTTGATCACAAGGATGATCCAGTGGTGAAAGTTAAGCAATTCTTGACCATAAGCATGTTCTAGAGTTGAATGTTAAGCAGTTCTTTATCACAAGCATGATCCAAAGTTGAAAGTTTACCAATTCTTGATCACAAGCATGATCCAGAGTTGAAAGTTAAGCAATTCTTAATCACAAGGATGATCTAGAGTTGAAAGTTTAACAGTTATTGATGACCGGATTTGAAAGTTAGCAGTTCTTGATCACAAGGATGATCTAGAGTTTAAAGCTTAGCAGTTATGGATCACAAGCATGATTCATAGTTGAAATTTTAGCAGTTCTTAATCACTAGCATGTTCCAGAGTTGAAAGTTAACCAGTTCTTAACCATAAACATGATCTAGAGTTGAACATTTAGCAGTTCTTGACCATAAACATGATCCAGAGTTGAAGGTTTAGCAGTTCTTGATCACAAGCATGATTTAGAGTTAAAAGTTTGAACATAAGCATAATCCAGAATTGAAAGTTATTAAATCAGAACTTACTTGATCACAAGCATGATTGACACTCCAAAGACAATGTGAACTCCTTGATAACGAGCATGATCAACTCCGAAGCTATCTGCGTTCATTGATAACAAAGTGTCAATCACTGAGCATGATTGAGTTTCCTTCTCCTAAGCTTATCAGTTTCAAAATTTAGCTTCAGTTCTAGTACAATTATGAATGTTCAAAACATAGATAGTTAACGAACAATGGAATACAAAGAAAATTGAAATTAGCATACTGGCAATAAAATACAGAAATAATGAAGTATTCTATTTTTTTTTTTTTTTTTTTTTTTTTTTTTTTTTTTTTGTTGGAATAAGTAATGGTGAAGTATTCGTATTCATATACAAAAATAACCATAAATTGGTTCAAATTGAATAAACTTATATACCGTGGAAAAAGAAAACCTGATTTTTTAATTTAAAAAAAAAGAAAAAGAAGGTGGATCTTTGTTAAGCATTAAATCGACAAGAAAAACTATAAACTAAAGAAGAGAAACCCCAAACAAGTCTAGTAACATGAGCTGAGTTTTCTAAAGAACATTTTTTTTTAAAACATATAATTTGTTTGTAAAAACAGATTGGAACGGATATTATAGTTAAAGCATTATAACAAATAGTAAAAAGAATTAACTACTATAATAAAACAATTATTCTTGGAAAAAATAGATCAAACTTACAATGAATATGGCTTCAGACCAAGAAACACAAGTAGAGATGAGAAGAGAAGAGATAGAGAGTGGATGAGAAACTATGAATGATGAGCGACATATTTTATAGGAAAAAGGGAGAATGGAATCCTATTAGGACTAGGCTTCCTTATTAGTTATTACGGGTAATATTATGGTATTTAAGGATAATTATTCAAATTCCAATTCAAATAGAATTAGAACTAGAGATCAAAAATATAAATATTCGATACTTTAGTCATAATAGGATAATTATTTATTTATTTCCTCTATTTCCTTCTAACGTTTTTTTTTTTTTGTTTTTCAGTCTTTCACGGAATTTTAATCGTCATTTTACTACGTATTCATTCCATTACAATTCTTGTTGTCGTTTTTCCCCGATTAAGAACCTCGGGGAATATTCCTTAGTAAAAACAAATTGGAATGACATATTACAAGCAAAAAAAAACGTTATAACAAATCATAAAAAGAATTAAGCCACTATAATAAGATATTCATTATTCCATCAAAAAATAATAAAACAATTATTCTAATAACAGAAGGGGAAAAAAGAAAAAAGAAGCTAAAAACTTACATTGTTCACGGCTTCATATAATCAAACACTAAACGCAGAGAGAGGATATAACTATTATGAATGCCATGCAACATATTTATACGGGAAAAAAAATGGAATCCTATTAGAAGTAGGCTTCCTCAATAATTATCTTCTAAGGATAACTATTTATTTAGTGTAACATGATTATCAGGTATTTTATGATTTAATTATTCAATTTTGAATGACATAGAATTAAATTATGAAATACACGTTTATCCAGGATTTTAGTCGTCGTTTGACTCTGTTTCCGTTCCATATGCAATTTTCGTCGTCGTTTTTCTCCACTTCAGAAACAGAGGACAAAGAATATTGGTGCTGACGTGGACAACTGGAGGTGTTGAGGGGTGCCTGGCTTGTCACGTGAGACGGCAATAACTGTGATACCTGTGATACCTCAAAAGTGTAAAGAGCATTGTTCAGAGCTTTGTCTTGACTGAAAAGGTGATAACTGTGATACCTTAAAAAAACATGTCGTTTTGATGTTGTTTTTCGATTGTGATCATCGTTGAGATTATAGGCAATTTAGGAGGTATATATACTGATATTATTTAGTTGTTTGATTCATGGTTATGAGATGACTAAATATTTATTACCGTTAAGAAGTGACAAGCATCTTGTTAATCATTGTCTGCATCATAATTCTGAAATGATTAAACATTTTGTTAATCATTCATGGTTACAAGATGGCATGCTGTCCAGAGCGAATTAAACAACTTTGGCAAGACTTAGAGGAGACACTACCATTCCACGCCTATATATATATATATATATATATATATATATATATAGACCCTTCTCATGTGCAAAATCACCCCTTTCTTGTGCGTATATGAAAACCTGCATGATTCAATTCTTCCCTGCTTATCGGTTGCTTTCGCAGAATTGCTGTCTCTCTTCTTCTCCTTGATCTTCTTTATTTGTTTCTTTCTTTATTCCTTCCTTTCAAGTAAGAAAGAAACATGAAAGAAAGAAAGAAACGAAGAAAGAAGATGAAGAAGAAGAAGTAGTAATAGTGGTAATTCCTCCCTGGTTCTCCCAACAAATATGCAGCCTTAAACTTGTTGGATTGCGACGATCAATCATCGATCACCCGCCACCAACCTCGATAGCAATGGTTGCACATTCTGCAAATTCTTTGTGTTCAATAGTTCAAAACATGGATAGTTAAGCAGCAATGGAATACAAAGAAAACTAAAATTAGCATCATACATATTGGAATAATTAGAACGCTCTAATAACATGACTTGGTGCTAGTTGTGCTTAAAAAAAATATATATATATATATATATCGTAAACATATATTGGAATGACATATTACGGTAAAATCATCATAAAAAAATAATAAAAAGAATTAAGACCCTATGATAACATATATATTATTCCATAAAAAAATAGTAAAACAATTATTCGGCTTACTTTTATAGGGGGGGAAGACAATGGAATCCTATTAGGACTAGGCTTCCTTAATTAACATAATCTACCAAGGATAATCATTACTTGAATTTCATTTGATGTCGTTTTTGCGCAATCGCCATAAGTAATATTAGTTCCTTCGTTGTCGCTCTAGTGCTAGTTGTCGTTTATCCTTACCCTTTTAATTTTCCTATATTCCTCATCGTTTTCTCCTTTTTCCTGCTTCCGTCGTTCTCTATTCAATTCATTGTCGTTTTTTTCGCTTTTCTGTCATTTTTTCCATTTAAGACGTTTCAATGCAAAATAGCTATTTTCTTTGTTGTCTAGAAATTCATCATGTCCTGTCGTTTTTAATTCATGAATTTCTCTATTCTTTCAATTATTGATCGTTGGCTTTTTTTTGTTCTTCTTGTTCCTTTCTTTCATCCTATAGTCACTAATCACGATTGTTTTTCATATTTCTTGTCTTTTTACTTGTCACCAAATCATGTCGTTTTTTATTGAGGTCAATCTTTCTTTTTTTATTATTTTTTATGGACAATCTTTCTTTTCTTGAGGTGCAGTGATTGTTATTTCGCAATGTTTTTAAATGTAATTTTATTAGTAATCCGTGACAAGATAAAACATATATTATTAAACCGAAGGTACATCCAAGAAAAATCTAATATAATCATTAATGAAAATAATAAAATGACCAACATCAAAAATAGAATTAACAGAAGAAGGTCCCAAATACAAGAATGTATTAATATTAATTTAAATGGAAATAATAGGAAATAGGCTAATATGAAAAGCTTAAAAAAATATATAAGCCAATTTTTAGTTATAGAAATTAATAAGTCATAACTTGTCAAGTTATTATTCATAACCAGATAAATTATGAATAAATTTGTCAAGTTATGATTTATAACTAGATAAGTTATGGACAATAACTTGTCAAGTTATGGTTCATAACCAGACAAGTTATGGACGAAAACAGTAATTTAATCTATTTAATAACTTATGTAAATAATTGACCTATTAATTTTAATTCATCTTAAATCTTGACATATTTTTCTCTTTCTCCCTAATTTAAATGTGTTAGAAATCTTTTTTTTTTTTTCCTCTCTCTCAACAGAAACCCGAGAGTTTGTCAAAGGTAACCGATGACTTTTGTTCAGTTTTTTTCCTTCTCACACTTTGGTCGTCGTTTTACTACGTCTCCTTTGCCAATACAATTCTCGTTGTCGTTTTTCCCCAATTCAGAAACAAACCGCGAAGAGAGAATATTCTTTTAGGTTATGATGAAGGATTCTTAACCAAATCCTTAATCGTCTCATCAAACTCAACGCCACCATTTCCAGTCCTCCTCGAGATTCGGAGCTCTCCTCCGATGGCGGCCCTAACCCGCCTTTCGAAACCCTCCTCCTCCTCCGCCTTCTCTTCCATGGCGGCCTATGTGTCGAGGTCCTTCGCCTCCGCTATGGCGTCGGAGCCGACCGCCCCTTCTCCCTTCTCTCCGCCGCCGCCGCCGTTCGCTCTCAAGCCCAACCTCCCACGTCGAGATCCGAATGACAGGGACGTGCAGTGGGTCTTCCTCGGCTGCCCCGGCGTCGGAAAAGGCACCTACGCCAGCCGCCTCTGCAACCTCCTCGGCGTCCCCCACATCGCAACCGGCGATCTCGTCCGCGAAGAGCTCGCCTCCTCCGGTCCCCTCTCTCGACAGGTAGCCCTTTTGTTCTTATTTTCAATCTTGATTCAATCAATTTGGACTGAGATCTATCCTTTTTAGTTTTTTCGTTTTGATTTTGGGTTTAGGGTTTATATCTAGTCGTGTTAACGAATGTAATCAATTTATCGTCTAGGATTTCGGGTCTATTCTTTGGATTTTCTTTCCTTTTAATCAATTAACCTCAGATCTATTTTTTCCCACTTTTGTATGATTTTCAGCAAAAAAGTTTTAAGCTTTTTAGGAAATGAGTAGTAATATCGAATCATTGTGGAAACAAGTTTTAAGCTTTTGCTTAATTTCAAAGCTTAACCAGGATTTGACAAGTAAAGTTGGCTTTTTTAATGGATAAGAATGTGCATTCCTCATGAAGAATGGACTTATATTGACTAGGACTAAGAAGTTCCTTTTTCTCTATGTTATAGAATAAAGGTTGGTGCTTTAATATTTTCACTCAAGTACCAAAATTTTCACCAACTAATTTGATCCGACCGCAAAGCCAGTTTATGGGCTTGTCTTGAATCTTTTCAACAAGCTAAGTTTGAGCGAAAAACATATTGTTTAAGCTTGGAAGCTTCGCGGGCACTGGGTTTTTATTTAATATTTGTTGGGTATGGAATATATGGAATTGGTGCAAAGCCAATTATGGTTTTTGCGAGCATATGTGTTAAGGTTATGTTTGAGATTGCTAATGATCTTTGCTGGTTTTTGTTGCAGCTGTCTGAGATTGTTAACCAGGGTAAGTTGGTTTCCGATGAAATAATAATAAGCTTGTTGTCGAAGAGGCTGGAGGCTGGGGAAGCTAATGGTGAATCTGGGTTTATTCTTGATGGTTTCCCTCGAACAATAAAACAGGCGGTGAGATGTTGGTGCTTCGAGCTTTTTGTGTTAATTAAATGTACAAGTAACATTGCATTCTGGTGTTCCATTCAGCTTAATTATTATGTATAGGACCCCTTACAATAAAATGGATAATATTTTATCTTCTCCTAGTTGAATAGCATTCGTAAATTCATGTGTGTCCTACTGAAACAAGACAACATTGCTGAATGTTTTGGCTCTTTCATGGTTCTATCAGGAAATACTGGTAGAGGTCATCGACATTGACATGGTGTTAAATTTGAAGCTTCGGGAAGATGTGTTGCTTGAGAAATGCCTTGGTAGAAGAATTTGTGGTCAGTGTGGGAAAAACTTTAATGTGGCGTCCATTAATGTTAAGGGCGAGGATGGGAGACCTGGAATGAGTATGGCTCCACTCCTCCCCCCTCCAGATTGTATGTCAAAGCTGATTACCAGATCAGATGATACCGAAGAAGTTGTAAAAGAACGTTTCAGAGTATACTATGAAAAGGTATTGCTCCATTCTCTTACCACCCTGTCTAGCTAGGCAGAAGTTGAAGAACACATAACATTGTGAAGTGAAAAGTACTTGTAACCATTTGTTCTGGTATTGGACATTTTTAACTTGTGTTGGGCTTGTGAACTCAGTCTGGTTTTCTTTTTAGTTATCCGTCTTTCAACTTTTATGAGTGGTCATTCTTATTGACATTTTTGTTTTCCTATTGTTCTTCCAGAGTCAACCCGTTGAGGAATTCTACCGTAGTAGAGGGAAGTTATTGGAATTCGATTTGCCAGGAGGAATTCCTGAATCATGGCCAAAGTTGCTTCAAGTTCTTAATCTTGATGATCACGAGGACAAGCGATATGCTGCAGCATAAGTTATTCTACCGCCCCTATTTAATGGTCAACATGCCATTTGTTTGTGTGTTCGGTGCATGCTACCAAAGGAACCTCCTTTTCCGAGAATAAATTACTTGAAATTTCCGGAAATTCTTTTACGGCTGGATGCCCAGCTGACTCTTCAATTTTGTTTGTCATTTTATTATTTAAAGAGGATTCGAATACTATTGTAATATGAGAGAGAGTTACAGTAATTATGATTTTGGTAGGGACGTGATTAAAGAGACAATTTTGTGATGACAATTAACTTAAAATAAGGAGGCTAATTGACTTTGATTTGTATTGTCTGCAGAATAATGTTAATTATTGTGGTAAAGGATTGTTGAGCTCGTAAAGCATGTTGAATTTGCAGCTGGCCGAGCTGGTTGGCTGGAGTAGTGCCAAGCAGTAAGTTAATTCAGCTGCAACATCAGAAAGGGGCACAAAACCAGCTCTTCACCACAATAGTTTGGGTGGTGCAAGATAGATTGTGCTGTATATTTTACCTAATTTACCTTCTCTATGGTCAAATTCATATACTTTAAAACCATATCGTCAGCATGAAACCATGATTATCTAAGTGGAAATCAAATGTAGTTTAGAACTTAATAGGGACATTTCTACCTGATGAACAATATTATTATTTTTTAATTATAAGCTTTGCGCATGCACAGATAGTTGATAATTAGAGCAGTCGGTGACAATATCGAACCTTAGTAGGAAAGTTCCATCCTTGTGGAAAACAATGCACTGGATTATAATGCAACGTGAAAATTAGCCGAACTAATCTAAACAGATCAAAATTCGCCAAAAAAACGTGATTGTTTGTTAAACGACTTTGCTTTTTGATGGTTCGCAATCACATTCACACCACACGGTTTCTAAAAAGGGCACTATATGTATGGCAGATGACATACAGGTTGTAGGATGCGCATTAAAGCACATGATATTTTAGATGAATAATGCTGAGGGTGATAACTCAAATCTTAACTTTTGTATGCTAAAGTCTCGTTCATTTCACCGATTTGAGTTTTCAGTTTTAGATTTCTATAGTAAAAAATTCTTATAAAATGTTATCTAATTTTTTCTATTAGAGTAAAAAGTTCTCAGAAAATATCACATCTTAGTTCGACTTGAAAACTCAAATTCGCAAAGAGGCCTAATTGATATAGAAAGTTGTCCTTTCTCTATTAATGAGTGTTTAAAATATTATCACGTAATTAATGATAAGAGATATTTATAAATAAAAAGATAATAATTTACATATCACATCAGTTAGTGTATAAAAGTTTATATTTAAATTGTTGTACTTAACGCTGCTCATTTTAGAGGCATGTATTATACATTTTCTTCAACGATACACAAGATGTTTACAAAACGTAATCCATGCATATAACAATGACAAGTTACCTGACCACTCGACATTTTTGGTGACTTGTCAACTGATATCTAATACCACCAACATACCGGCGGCATCTGCCATGGCGCCTCTCTTTTCCAACCCAATAGAATCGAGGGTCACATTCCGTCTTGCATCATATAATTCTCCAACCCATTTCCGCAAATTGTAACCCAACTTTTCCTCCATCCCAATCAGGCAATAGCCTGTGCAGTTTCTGGCACTCGGGCTTATTTAGCTCTGTACTAACGGAATCATCTGTTTGACGCTCTAGAAAGCGTAGGAAAAGAAAAGGAAGCAATCGTTAGTTCTTTCCTTCGTTTTTGCATAAAACTAAACAGAGAAATCCTAGTCACTTGTCATATGAGCACTAAAATTTGTTTTTGGGGTTGCAACCACACACACACCAAAAGTATGTCAGAAATGTTGCCGTTTCTTTATGAACGGTATAGATATGGTGGATAAGGACATGTGTTTGTGAAGTTCTTTTGCCATAATGATGATGATGATGATGATGATGATGTATACATATGGTGGATAAGGACATGTGTTTGTGAAGTTCTTTTGCCATAATTTGTGTTTGTGAAGTTCTTTTGCCATTTTATTTGAGTTATTTTGATACACTATATAGGTCTCAAGATAAAACAACTATACTTTCGTATCGGTAGTGGTGTCAATTCGTGTTGGCAATCGTATTTGTGTCAAGTTTAGGGCTAATATTCGTAAAAATGACCTTAACTCTAACACGATCCGTGATGAACCTGTAATCTTTATGATGACAACCCATAGTCAACCTGCATCATGCTCAACCCGAAATCAACTTACAATCCATCAATGACATGTGGTTTTTTAATTTAAATCTACAATATATGCACTAAAATAATATAAAAAACGCATAAAACACACATGTTCTAAAAATTAAATCAATTCCATACTATAATAACTAATTAAGCCTAAAAATCCAAAACACATTCAACCAAAATGAGAGAAAAAATAATTTTTAAAATAATTTTTAAAATAATAAAATAATTGAGTGAGTCAATTTAGTTTAGTGTCACACAGGTTGACACGAACACGACTTGTTTTTTTACGGTTTAATTTCGGGTTGACACTAAAATGATCCCTAATTTATTTTTTTGACACCAACCTTTATAAAATTGTTATATTATCATATTGTAACCCGTATTGCCATAGGCAAGACTAAACCCATTCATTTCAAGACACTGTCACTAGATGCGGTTGACACATGCCGTCTTAGTGTTAAGAGTTGTTTTGTAGGTATTAACACCAGAGATTTATTAGTTGTCAACTTATCCAAATGGCTAGAAATGTTTCCTTAAAAAATTTGGATTAATTTTATAATTGCACCCTAAATTATGAATTTAGTTCAATATGCCATTTAAATTTTAAAGGAGTTTATTTCACCCAACGATCGATGTAAAATAGTTTAAAATGTCTCATTGAACTATTAATTTTGTATCAATTTGCCTGATCTTTAAAAAAATTAAGGTGACATGAAATTAACTTAAATCAATAATTCAGGTGACATTTATGAAATATAAATAGGGTCACATCATTATTTATTCGTACTATAGATGGAGGTAGTATTTTAAACTAGGATACATAATTTATGGAATGAAATGAACCCTTTTCAAAATTTAGGGATCATATTAAAGTATAGAACATACTAAAGAATTTAGTTGGGTGGGTGAAATAATGACATAGCCTTTCTTATTGATTAACTATATATATATATATATATATGTGCAAGAGTATAGCAAATTTTAATCTAATAATTTAAATTATAGAGTTATATTCTAAACTAACTCAAAGTGATATATAAAAATAATTTAAACTTTAAAATAAAAGTTAATTATAAAGATAATCATTTTCTTTTCTCAATATATAGTTAAATACGCATTTATAAAATCAATAAAAAAAATAGAAATACGAAGTTTCGTGGATTTGTCAAGATATATTGGGATTGATTTGTGGACTGTTTCAGATAAAGTGAACATTCAAACCATCCTCAAAATGGTTCAAATGGCTATGCAACGAATTTCAAGTTTGAGATGTCAATAGTCACAATTTTTAGTTCAAGGACCAATATGTCAAATGTGTAAAATTTAAGGAGCTTTCATACAAAAAAATTAAAGTTTTGTTATAATATTTTCTCTCACAAAATTTAAATTATTATTTAAACCATATGATTTGAACTCACCTTACACGCAAGCCCCAAAAGCCCTAAAGATGTGTATCAGCGTGCAACTTTCCAAATGGACTTTTAGATGTCTGAAAACCCACGCTACTCTTTTAAGTACTTGTCGTCTTTTTCTATTTAGTGTCGTCTTGTGCCGTTGACATTTCTTGACACTAGTTGTCGTTTTAGGTCATGGGAGTTCCAACTTCTAACCTCCAAGCCCAACTCACAAGAGAAATGTTGTCGTTTATTCTTGAGTGTCATTTATTTTCATCTTTACTACTACTATCTGTTGTAGTTTATTCTTTTGATCGACGTTTACTCTGGTATTTGTCGTTCTTCTCTTCTATATATGTATTTTTTTTTCCGTCTTTCTCCCATATAGTAGTCTTTTTTGTTTCATTTTTCAATAATTGTCGACTTGTCGTTTTACTTTGTTAGCGAGTTCCAACTTCCAAGCCCACACCTTCACGCGTAAAACGCTGTCGTTCATTCCTCCGTTGTCTTTTTTCTCTCTCCACGTTTTCTCGTCGCTAATTGTCGTTTTTCATTTCACTCTTCCTTCTGTCAACCATTAGGTCACTTCACTCCATTTAAGACCCCCACATTTCTTCCAGAGCTCCATTCTTCCCCTCCAATGGCGGCCCTAACTCGCCTCTTCCGAACCACGACCACCACTCTCTCCTCCCTCGCTCGCTCCTTCGCCTCAAAACCGAGCAACCAGATGGGCTACCCCAAGCACCACAAGGGCAGAATCCACGGCATCTGCCACAAAGGCGACCGCATCTCCTTCGGCTCCTTCGCGCTCCAAGCCCTAGAGCCCGCCTGGATCACCGCAAGGCAGATCGAGGCCGGCCGGAGAGCGATCACGAAAATCGCCCGCACCGGCGGGAAGCTCTGGGTCCGGGTCTTCCCGGACAAGCCGGTCACCGGAAAACCCGCCGGCGTTCGTATGGGACGAGGAAAGGGAGGCGTTGAGTACATGGTCGCCGTCGTGAAGCCCGGGAGGGTGCTTTACGAGGTCGGCGGCGTGGCGGAGAGCGTGGCGAAGAAGGCGATTGCGGTGGCGGCGTCGAAGATGCACGTGCGGACGCGCTTCATTGCGGAGCGTGGAAGTGCCAGCTCCTCCTAGTGAAGGCTTCTGAACAGGGTTAGGGTTTATCGGATTTTTCTATTTTTTTTCAATTTTATTTAATTTAATTATCCTTTATTTTTGTGTTACTTGGGCAAATCTTACATGAATAAGATTGCTTTTTAGTGTTCAATAGAATTCATGAGTAAACATGGATTCTTTGCGAGGAAACAAGTTGGTATATGCAAATCATGTAGAAGAAAGGAAATTTGATAAGAAATTTTGGATTTTTTTTTTCTTCTCGAGTTCGCTTGATTTCTGGGGTTAAGCAGGACTTGTTATTTGTGTTCAAAAGTAGATTCTTTGATGAATAAGAAGGAATATTTGTCACGAAAAATGAATTTTTTTAGCTACTAATGATCCTTTTGAGTTATGTTTAGAATAAAGTTAGCTCCTTTTTTGCTATGTTTAGAATGAAGTACCTTTTATGGCGAGTGTTTAGCTATTGAGGCTGAGATGTGGACTATTATTTTGGCTATTAGATTAGCTTGGCATAAGGGTTGGAGGCACATTTCGTTAGAAAGCGATTCTGCTTATGCAGTTCATCTTTTTTGGTGTGGTTGTTCGAAAGTTCCATGGTCTCTTCGCAATGCTTGGGTTGATGCTCTTGGGAAGGCTAATTCTTTGAGTTTTGTTATTTCTCATTCTTTTAGAGAAGCAAATACGGTTGCTGATTGTTTGGCCAATTATGGTATAGTTTCTTGTTGTTATACTCGGTGGCATAATGCTCCAAGTTTTGTTCTTAGGGAGCTTGGTTTAGATGTTTCTGGCTTTACAAGATAATAGGTTCAGGGATTGATTTTGTTGTTTTTTGCTGTGTTTCTTTTCTCATGTACGTTTACTTTTTCTTTTAATAAAATTACAAGAGTTTCTTCGTTGTTAAAAAAAGAATGAAGTAAGCTGCTTTATAGTAATTCTTCCTAGATATAGGGCTACAAATTGACTAAATTGTTCAATGTTCACCAACTCCTTTGATATGCTGTAGTTGATTTTGGAAGCAACATGGGCAATTGGTTTTATTTAGGTTTTTGTCTTGTCAAGTGGGTGTTGAATATATGGCACTCATGTGTTTCCCATTATGATAAATATGTACAATCTTTGTTAATTTTCTTTTGAGAAGTGTTTCATTGTTGTTATTCCAGTCCTTGTTAATATGAAAATTTGGGGGGGGTTTTTTTCCTTGATGATTTGTCTCAACCAACAAAGCAAGCTTTGAGATATTGGTGCTTAGAGCATAATTTTGTCAGGTAGACTGCAAGTAGACGAAGTTTGTAAATTGATAAATGAGATGTTGGCTTCTCTTGACTTGATCTCAGGCTGGGATACTTTAAATAATCTATATCTGCTTGAAATGTTAAGAGCAAGGTAAAGTAAAAAGCCTACTATAATCTTCCATTTTGTTCAACTTTCCACTCGTTCCTTTCTGAACCAAGCATGATTTGCTTATTTCGTTAGAATTTCCTTTAGTTATCATGGGAATTTTCAGCATTCTAGGAAATCAACTTTTGGAGAACCTGTTGGCTTATATCCATATTTGTATGCCAGCATATTCCTATCGATGGCGACCAAAATCAAAGATTGTTTAAAATGATTACTTCTGTAGTTTTGTTTTTGCCTTATCTGTTATTCAAACCGAGTAACAAAAAAGTGTAGGAAATTATGGGGGTTTTAACGTGTTGTGTTTGCGCCCTCAATTTGTCTTCCTTCAGCGATCCATCTAACACATTGAGTGATCATTTCATGCCTCCTGACACGTTTTCTTTCCTTTTCTTCTTCCACAGTCAATGTCTAGCAGAATACTACCATAATTGAGAGAAACTATTGGGATTTGATTTTCCTGGATCCTGGCCAAAGTTGCTTCCAGTTCTTAATCTTGATGATTACGAGGATAAGTGGTTTGCCGCAGCATAGTTTACTATACTATACTTTCACCCGTTAATGATGAGCATGGCATTCTTTGTATCGTAGGTGCACACTACAAATTTTGCAAAGAAATCTCCTATTCCTTGAAAATAAGGTTACTTGAAATCTCTGCCACTTCTTTTTTGGCAAATGCTTTGCTAACTCTTCACTTTTATGCTGTTATTTTCTCGTTTTAAAGAGGATCCAATGTTAATTTAACATCTGATTTTTTTGTTCTTTTTTTGTTGAACTTGAGACGAGGAATTTGAACTCGGGACCTTGATATGAGAAGTTAGCAAAGATTGCCACTCTAGTTTGAAATTTTGACTCAATTTAGGAGGCTGATTGACTAATAACTGTTGTATTCTTGTAAAGAATTGATGAAATAGTAAAATTATCTTGAATTTTGCAGCTGGCCGAGCTGGTTGGCTCAAGTGTTGCCAAGCAGTAAGTTAATTCAGCTGCAACATCAAAAGGGGCACGAAACCAGCTCTTGACTGCTATAGTTTGGGTGGTGCAAGATAGATCGTGCTGTACATATTACCTGATTAACTTATCTTCTATAACATTCCTTGTTCATTTACTTCTTTCTAGACAAGATCTTCAGCATTGAAACGACAATAATCTCTTTGTAAATGATATTACAAGTTGCTGGAGATGCTGAGATGGCTACACTTAGAGGTGTACATAATCCCCGACAACTCGAGAAACCCGGCCGACCCAACCTGAGTTCACCCGAATTTCGTGGGTTTTTTTACAATAAAAATTAAATCGGAATAAAAACCGAGTTTCTCGGCTCGATTTGCGGTGGTGTGATTATGATACCCGATATCCCTGAACCCGGCCGAAGTAAATGCAAAATGCTTTCAACTTTTTTAGTTTTTTATGCGTATATAAATGAATATTATGGTTGTGTTTGGAATTATTTTTCATGTTTTTTAAGAAAGAAAAAATGAAAACAGAAGAGAAACGACGTTTGACACAATTAAAGAAAAAAAAAGGAAGTGAAAATAATTTTTTGATTTAGTGTAAAATAGAAAAGAAATGAAAAATGACTTTTAGTCTTTTTTCATTTTTTGTTTATGTTTTCTCATCTCTTGAGCAGAGAGGGAGAGAGAATCTCTTGAGCAGAGAGGGAGAGAGAGAGACATTAATGAATTTTTTATATTGAAAATAATTTTTTAATAAAACTATCAAATGCATTTTTAAAAATGATTTTTGTTTGAAATTAAAAACGTTTTAATTTCTATTTTCCTATAAAAAAATAAAATCATTTTGAAATGAATTCTAAACTAACTCTATATCTTTACTTTTTTAGTTTTCTAGCGTATATAAATGAATATTATATGTACAATAGATATTTTCAAAAGAAAAACAAAACAAAAGGCATTAATCAATCGAAAAATTGTTTATGAAAAAAAATAAATAAAAAGCATTAATTGATAGAAAAGTTGTAAGCCCTATGAATATACTCTACCATTGCTGCCGCCTCTTTTGTCTCCCATTTTCTTACCTAAAAGATCAAAATTTCTATTATTCTCTCTTATTTCTCAATCAATCTTTCTCCTTACATGAGTAGATTTTTTATCATCTTCTTAAAACTCCATTCGCTTCTCTTGTGTCTCTCTTTCTCAAAGGTTAAAAGTTTGAAGACTCTTATAAATTGTCTTGTTTATATTGATTTGCAGAAGTTAGCCGTTTTGTTTTCCTTTCTTGTTAGAGTTGACACAGCTTAGCACATATGACAAGCAAGCCAACTATTCGAGTCAAACCCTAGCTGTTGTTACATCTCGACTTTTGGGGCTCTATTGGGTATCGCGGCTCAGTTTTCTCTGAGCCTGACAATCTCGGCTCGGCACCCCTAGCTACACTATTTAATAGTGGTATTTCAGTTGTCCTTTTTTGGACGACATCATCTGTGAGGACGACAGCATACTTAAGAAAACGACAGCGTCATGGGAAACGACAGTATCTCAACGAAGAGTAGCACATGAAAAAGTCACAATAGGCACAAGTTATTAGGAAACGTCCTTTATCCTTACTAACAGAAAATCGGGGAGACGAATAAAACATAAATGCATGAGGAAACGATATCGACTAAAAGCACAAATAAAAAAACGACATAAGCACGGCTAACGACGTTGTATCTTGAAACGACAATATACTAGGAAATATTATCATCTCCAAAATACGTCGTCGAGAAAAAGCGACATCTTTAAACAAAATGGGCGTTTTTCAAGAAAACGGCGATATCTAATAAACGACAGAAACTAGAAAATTTTACGCAAGTGAATTACAGCACACTCGAAAAACGACAATATCTAAAATACACGTCGTGCGACAGCACCTTGAATACGAAAATCTATCTTCCACCGTGCGCACAAAGATGAAAAAGAAAACATGACGGAAATTCCATTAAGAAGCCCACATGCTGCCACGTGTCAGTCTGCTTCCCACAAAAAAAAAGTAAAAAAAAAAAAAAGCACCAACTGTTCTCTCAACCGTCATAAACTAACACTCTCCACGTCCGACGAGGAGTGAGACGGAGAATCAATCAGCCATCATCAGCTGTCAGTTATGGCGTTGGCAGCCACTGTCTTCTCCAACACTCTCAATATCCAATCCGTCCCAAGCACCAGTAACAGTCCGCCACGTGTTCTCTCCACCCCCACTCGCAGCGTCGGCTTCTCCCTCACTCCCACTTCTGTCGACAACCTACGACTCCGACTCTCTCCTCGGAAATCGCACCCCGTACCCTCTGCAGTTTCTGGCTCTCCTGGCAAGTTCTCTCTCTCTCTCTCTCTCTCTCTCTCTCTAAAATCTATAGCCAATAATGTTTTTCTTTGTGGGTGTTATGAATGCAGGGATTGAATCTCCAGTTACCAGTGAAGATGCACCAAATTTGTTGGACACGGTCAAAGTGTTAGATTTGAATGGAAACGAGATTCCCATTTCTGATTTATGGAAAGATAGGAAAGCTGTAGTTGCATTTGCTCGCCATTTTGGGTTTGTTTTTTTTTTTCTTTAACCTTTTCACTAATTTAAGCTTTTGGTTACATATGATATAAAATATGAAGTCTCCAATTGTTAAATTTCAAATAAAAAAAATATTTGATTTTTTGTTTGTTTTCAGATGTGTGTTTTGCCGCAAACGTGCTGATTATCTTGCCTCCAAGAAGGTTAATGATTAATTTACTTTGTTTTGTTTGTGATATATTAAATGCTAAACATTCATTACTTGTGACAAATTTTATGTTCACAGGACATATTTGATGCATCTGGGGTGGCCCTTGTTCTGATTGGACCTGGTAACATTGATCAGGTATTTACTCAGACACATACTTTAAGTGTTCAAGATGTTCTTCTACTTTTTTTTTTTTTTTTTCTTTCAATGCTCGGAAAACGAAATATTGACAAAGACATCTTATTATTTGTACCCTTTTAATTAGGATTAGGAAAATGCATGTTTATGGTCAGGGATTGGGATTATTCTGGTGTTGTGGAAGACATAATGGAGAAGGAAAAAAGAAAGAAGAACAAAAACCTAGATTTGGACAAAACGCCTATAACTTGATGAAAACTTTTAGTACATTTTGAGATAGTGAATAGTAAACAAACTTGAATCTTTTATATATTGAATGTAGAGATAGGTATAGATTAGGTTGCTTTCATGAGTCATCGATGTTCTTGTACTTGTTTAAGCGAATTCATGCTACCATCTGCTATCTGCGTGTGAGGGACGTCTTTCATGCGTGTAATTCGAAATCTCAAAAGGCTGCTTTCCCCTAAAATTTAGGTTTTGGCTGGGAAAAATATTGGTTCCTTGTAACTTCAACTTGTTGTGATTGTTAACTAAGCTCCATAAAAATTGTAGCTTGGAATCTGTTACATCATCAATTCATCATTTCTCTCCCTTTCCCAGTTTCCTTTTCGGTATAGTTTTTCATGTCAATGAACTGAATAAGCACAAGCACTTCTCTGTTATGTAGGCAAAGGCTTTTTCTGAGCAGACAAAGTTCAAAGGAGGTATGTTTCCGAAAGTTGAGCTATTTGCCATTGGTTTCGATTTCTTGTACGCAGTGTTACACATTTTTGAAGTAAGCCCGTTAGACTAAATGTCCTGATGCTGAGACTGCCTTTACAAAAAATATGGTTAGACGACATACAGCCAGTCATTGCGGGCCCGTTTAGTTCGCTGATTCGAGTTTTTAATTCAAGTTGAGATGTGACTTTATGTGAGCTTTTTACTGTAACAAAAAAGTTAGATATGACTGTTTCTGAGAGCTTTTTACTTTAACAAAACTCGAATTTTAAATTCGAACTGGTGAAATGAACGGGGCCTGCGTGTCGCTTCTTCTACCTAAGTACAAATCCCTCTATATGACCATAAAAATGTATTATACTCCTGGTATTGATGTGCTAGGGTTGGTTGACAAGATAATATGTTGCACTCTCATAATGGAAAGGTCCATGACGTGTAAATGAAAGTTTTAATAATGTGGATGATGAACTTGAAAATATTGAAAAGGCCTATAACAGCTCTAAAGATGGTCTCATTTGTACTTTGTTAGACGAATATTGTAGCATGCCTTGACCATGAAAGAATCCTTGTGTTTTTTCGCATCTTCAAAATATCTCTCCCCCTACAGCTTGACACTGACAAACTTCCATTTCTGTTTCAGAAGTTTATGCTGATCCTACTCACTCATCATACGAGGCACTAAGATTTGTTTCTGGGGTCACAACCACATTTACTCCCAAAGTATGTCTGAAATGTGTATATGAAGATCTTCATTTTCAAAGGCGTGTAGAATTTCTTATTTGATTTCCTTTGGTGACATTCTAGGCAGGTCTTAAGATAATACAATTATACATGGAAGGATATCGGCAAGATTGGAAGCTTTCGTTTCAAAAGGACACCGTGACTAGAGGCGGATGGTACGTGCCTTCAAAGTTAAAAGTACTTTTTATGTGTCAGTTATCAGAGAGAACTATAATTTTCCACCTCGTGAAAATTATATTTTGACATATTTTTTAAATGTTACTACTGCTTTATAATGCACAAGTAGTTTCAAATCAGCTAGAGATGTTAAACAGGAGTTTTGGCAGTGCTCAAACAAAGAATATGAACCTAGACAATTGATGCCTGGAATAGACTAAGCAATGTTATTGTATCGAAGCGAAGCAATAGGGATTTGAACCTGAATTGCTACTTTGGATTTGTCCTTAATGTGTTTGATTTTTTTAAATTATCAGATCCCAAACCAAACCTCCAGCATAAAACTATGTCTTGTTAATTTGAGGCTTTACTTCTCATTTTGTAACATATTTTTGCATTGCCCAAGTTGACATTATAGACATTGCATCATATTATCTCTCTAATAATGCGTAATCTTTACCAAATTTTAATCGATACTGCTCGTCCCAGGCAACAAGGTGGAATTATAGTTGGAGGTCCTGGAAAAACCAATATCTCGTACATTCACAAGGTTAGTGATACTCTATTATAAGCTATTCTCTTTTGTTTTATTCACATGACTAGAACTGCTTTCGTAAAAATAATGGCCCGTTTAGTTTACTGATTTAAGTTTTTAATTCGAGTTGAGATGTGATATTATGTGAATTTTTTACTGTAACAAAAAAGTTAGATGTGACTGTTTTTTAGAGCTTTTTACTATAACAAAACTCAAATTCTAAACTCGAATCGGTGAAATGAACATGGCCCAGAGTTACCGAAACTCTTTATGGCAATGCTTTAGACCTTTTTTTTCTTTTCTGAACTCGTGACCTCATCGTTGGAGGTAGGGTGTGGATTTACCGTTAGGCAGTTCTTGCAACTACTTCTTAAGATACTTTTAAGAGCGTGAGAATTCATCTTTTTTTTTTTTTTGGATGCTTTTCTGATTCGCCTTTTCATTTGATTAGGACAAAGAAGCAGGAGATGATCCTGACATAGAAGACATTTTGAAAGCATGTTGCTCATGAAAAAGAAAAGAGATGAAGCATCTCTTCAGCTCTATGTTTTTGGCAAAGGGAAAAGTTGTACATGGAATTCTTTTTTATGCTTTTGGTGACTTGGAGAATCGACGTTTGGTTCATGGATTCAGAATCATGATTCAAAATTATTCTCGTTTTACGTGTGTTTTTTGTGAAAAAAACACTATAGAGAATCATAAATCATGATTCAGAATCAGATACAAATACAGAAAATAAACGTCCCCTTAAACAAGTGACTTGGAGAATCGACGTTTGGTTCATGGATTCAGAATCATGATTCAAAATTATTCTCGTTTTACGTGTGTTTTTTGTGAAAAAAAATACTATAGAGAATCATAAATCATGATTCAGAATCAGAGACGAATACAGAAAATAAACGTCCTCTTAAACAACTTGTCTTATGAAAAGTATAGTAATATGTGATCTGAGATATTCATAATGTAGCAAAATAGTAGACAATTCTGTGGCATAATAAAAAGCTATTACTCTTGTGACTCTTTTTTTTTTCTCATTAATTAACTAACAAATAAAAATAAGAATTTGCTTCTTAAATCATTAAATGCAAACAATCCATTGATTTCAATAAGAAAATTCCATTGGCAATCCACTCTTCCTTTATAAATTTATAGGTGAAAGAAAAAGCCAAAATATGATAAATGTGTAAATTTGTTTCTTTAATTTTATGTTCTCTGTCTAATCTAATTTCAATTTATAAACGTAAGAATTCTTAGTTAAATGATAATCTACTTTAATAAATCAATACTATACTTTGAAACTTTAAAATATCAATAATTTGCCTTAAACTATACATAAATAAGAAAATACGTACATTTTTTGAAACAAAAAAAAATCTAAATTTTGACTAATTATGAAAATAGTAAAAAAAAAAAAAAAAAAAAACCCCGCTTTAAAAAAAGAACCCCCTTTATT